GTCATGTGTAAAAGGATAAGCTTTTCACTAACCCAATGGTTACATGATCCCTCCGTTGTGTGAATAATGTATATTGATTGAGTGTATTGATTTTTAGGACACCATGGGTGAAGTCAAAGCCAGCAGGGGATTCAAGGGTATCTCATTTCTACTCCTATTCCATAATTGTACATCTAATACTTTGAGTTAATATTATAGCCTGTTAAAGTGTTTGAAATATAGTCCTTAGTTCAAGGTTTTCTCTTTATGGATTTGTACACAGCACAATAGAGCAGTGGTTCTCGAACCTTTTCTGTCATTCCAGGTGGGCCCCATCTGTCCCTCATCACTCCAATAAAATAGTAGGCCAAGCTTAAAATTGTCAAATGTATCGTTCTATAACAATATAACAATGTATCTATAACAAATAACATCAGTTCAAAAACAGAGAAAATCAACAACAATTTCCAAACATATAGAAAAAGGGCCTACTATGCAATAGCTTGGTTTCACGTGACGTCACACCGTTGCGTTCCTTTGGCGCGAAATTCCATTGGCGGTCAGGAAGTAATTTTCTACAGAGGATCTAGCTGCTGTTACCATTGTGAAAATGCCGGTGTGTTGTGTAGTTTACGGTTGTTCCAATCGATCCGGCCGAGAGAAAAACAAGAGGTTTTACCGAGTGCCGAAGTTTGTCGTCCATAAAGCTGAGCAATTTAAGAAGCTAACCGAAGAACGCCGGGAAAAATGGCTTTCAAACCTACATCTGCGGTCGGGAGGAGCAGAGTCGTCTAATGCATGGGTCTGCAGCGACCACTTCAGAGGTATTAGCTAACTTGGTTTTTGTGGCTTTGTTTAGGTATTATTGGGTTGTGGTTAAATGCGTATTTACTTAGTAATACTGATCATGTTTAAGTTACCTGTAGTCTAATATGGACTTTGTTGGGACTTTTTAGGGTGCCCTAGCGCTTTGGGTGACGTTGAGTCGGTAGACTGGGCTCCCACTGTTAGCCTCGGTTACCACACAACAAGTAAGCCCAGATCAGAGGCATCTCTTCGACGAGAGCAGAGGATGGAGCTCAAGGAAGACCAACAAAGACAATCAGAATGTGCAGAGGCTTTGTTGGATCTCCTGCAGACAACCGAGAGCCCAGAACCGACGCAGCCCCCGTCTGACAGCCCACAACCAGAGGACACCAGTGGGATATTAAATGACCAACAAGGTAAATTAACCACCAGCATTATTATTAAATATTACAAATGTGATTGTCAGAAAATCAATGCAAACTTTGAATTAGGTTTAGAAAATAGAGCACTAATTTGAGAATCTGCAATAATTGGAACAGAGAACTTGCATGTCTGTAAAAAGGTTGTCAAAAAGATAACTTCACAAAAATTCACATTCATATTTGACTATTTTAAATAACTAATTATGCTTGCTACTGCTATATTGTATGCAGATGCAGGATGCCAGACTGATTTAACGATGGAGGACATCGAGAGGATGGAGGATGTTCTGAGACAGAACACAACAGAGCTGGGAGATCTTCGAACAATGGCACTGGACACAAAGTTCAACCAGGAGTCCTTTGAGAACAACGAAGAGAAAACAAAGTTTTACACCAGGCTCCCCAACTTCTTAGTTTTACTTCAGGTTTTTCAACTGTGCGAGCCCTATACTGTACATCACCTGTGGCCCTATGTCTGTGCTCTCCAAATTTGAACAGTTCATTTTAGTTTTGCTGAGGCTGAGACTAAATCTCCCTCTGAAAGATTTGGCTTTCAGGTTCAACATCTCTCTCTCCACTGCTTCTAGAATTTGGCATAAGTTAATTGACATACTTCACGAGAGTACAGAATTTATAATTGAGTGGCCAGAGCGACATGTACTTCAAGCTACAATGCCAATGGGATTCAGACAGGCATTTGGATGTAGAGTTGCTGTGATTGTTGACTGTTTTTGAAGTTTTTATTGAGAGGCCCTCTAATTTACTAGCTAGAGCACAAACATGGTCCAACTACAAGCATCACCATACTGTTACATTTCTGATTGGTGTTGCTCCCCAAGGCTATGTTACCTACATATCTTGTGCCTGGGGAGGAAGAGTTAGTGATAAACAGATCACAATACAGAGTGGGCTCCTAAAAAACCTGTTACCTGGAGATATTGTCCTAGCAGACCGTGGGTTCGATATTGCCGATAGTGTGGGATTTTACTGTGCTTCACTAAAGATGCCTGCATTAACCAGGGGGAAAAGTCAGCTGTCAGCATACTAGGTGGAAGAGACAAGAAAAATAGCTAATGTGCGTATTTATGTTGAAATTGTCATAGGATTAGTCAGAAGAAAATATCAGATTCTGCAATGCAGGGCTGTGCCCATAGAGCACATGCTAACAAAACCAGGTGAGGCACTAGCATTAATTGACAAGATTGGGGTTATTTGCTGTGCCTTGTCTAATCTGTCAGTGTCTGTCGTCCCATTGGAGTAAAGTCATGGAGCTGTAGTCTTGTAAATAAGAAACCATGTATTATTCAGTATCATTTAATCTTTTCAGTAAACATCTTTTTGTGTTCAAACATCTTGTGTTCAAGTTTTTTCAGTAAACATCTTTTTGTGTTGAAAATTGTGTAGCCCTACTCAATATACAACTTTCATCTACATTCAGGCTTAATTCATTCAACAATATTCTAGAGATGACAATTGGTCTGGTGACGCTCCCATGTATGGCCATTGAGGGTTATTGTAAATGTAAATAAGAAACCATGTATTATTCAGTCTTAGTATCATTTAATCTTTTCAGTAAACATCTTTTTTACAATAGCAATATATCACACAGCCCTACTTCCTCTAGTGAGTGTGGTCAGTGAATATGAAGGTGCTGTAATGCAGGTTAAAGAGCTGCCACTGTGCAAATGTTACGTTCCCTTGTAAATATAGGGGTACAAAGGGAAGTAGCGACACACAACATAACCGGCCGAGAGAAAAAGGAGAGGAAACTGATCTCTGACGCCATAAAGTGGTCTTTTAATTAACACAACGAAAAAGGGCTCACCAGCCAACTTGTCAAACAAAGCTTAAGATAAGGGGAGAGCGACTGCAACCTTCCTCATGTCCTATATGGAGGTGCTGATTGGAGATTGGGAGCACCTGGGGAGATCAGAGGGAGAGAAAAAGACACCCACACACACCCAAACACCAGCACCCACTACGGCACGTAATAATAATGCAACAAGGAGAGAACCACAACTTCCGGGACCAGGACAGACCACAGGTGCTGGTAATCACGCCTTCTCTCCCTCCTGATCATCTTGCAACTGAAACTGAAAAATGGAACAGCAGACAGGGAGAGGAGGCTTTTAGTCACCTGATAGTTATGCACTAACATGTTCTTGTGGAAAAAAATGAGCACACCAACTCTTTATGACTTTTACCTTTCCCCTTGTAAGTTGCTGTCCCAACACTTCAGAGAGAACACATAGTCTGAAGAAACGCTCGACTCTGGGAATTATGTTGTCCCACAGGTCCACATCACGCACAATTCTCTCTACAAAGAGGTCATTTTTAGTCCAGACAACAAAGTCGCAGTAGTCAACATCAACGAGGTGGAGCTGAGCCTGTATTTGATGGTAGTAGGCATGTCTCCTGTCCAGCTTCACAGTGCCCCCATCGTTGACGAGACAGAAGCCCTGTTCTCCAGCACACAGGCGAAGATTGGCCTCCTCTTGTTTGCTGTGTGGGCACTAAAAGTTCAATGAAAAGAAAAGTAATATATTGTACTGTAAATAAGTGTCTGCAGCTCAAAATGTATTGGGAGAGGATCCCCAGACTCAGGATCACAATCCTATACTTACCCGCTTTACTGTAGCACAATACTGAACAAATAACTTACCTTTATCTCACAGATACCAGTTCCATGGCAGGTGCACGTGACACACCCGTCTGGCGACGCTCCCATGTATGGCCATTGAGGGTTCAGCCAAAGCCTGCTGTCTTTACAGCTGAAACCCTGGTGGTGCAGACTTTGTACTCCTTCATACTGCTTTCGGGCGGACACACACACACACACACACACACACACACACACACACACACACACACACACACACACACACACACACACACACACACACACACACACACACACACACACACACACACACACACACACACACACACACACACACACACACACACACACACACACACACACACACACACACACACACACACACACACACACACACACACACACACACACACACACACACACACACACACACACACACACACACACACACACACACTCTGTATTTTTATGCATTGAATATTTTGTGAATCATGTTTTGTAATGATAATGAATTTAGTTATAAGTTACTTGTACTGTAACTTACTGATATACGTGATCTAATCAGCGTATACCACGGGTAGAATTGTAAGTTACTTTTCACAACAAGTCGGTATCCCTCCGCGTCTGAGAAAAACTGTATACAGTTTGCTTTTCTGATTGGCTCCCTAATCCCTAATAAATACCTTGTTGCAGCTGTAGAGAACTTGTGTGCCTCTGGGTAGCATATGGACTTGATCAAGGACTTTGATGGCTGTACAAGACTAGTCTGTAGAACCTGCTTCAGTCTTGAGGCTGTGATCCTTCCTGCTCTTTGGCTAAACCATATTGCTGATAAGCTCTGGTTTCTGGTCTCCTCCTCTACTGCCTGGACCTGTGGCTGTGTCAGCTCTTCCTGTCTGAAGTCCTGGCATGCATTCTGCAACTCTGTTGGGGATAGCTGTAGCATCTCTGGTGTCCTATACTGAGGTAGTGGTTTAGGTAGCTTGCTCACATATTTAGGGACAAATTCTCTGTAATATGGTTCCCTGGACATCAGTGCAGCACTTCTTGGGGAATTTCTGCTCAAAGTCTTGAAAAACTGCATATACCTCTCTGATCCTCGCTCCAATTTTGAACCCTGGACTGTGGGACGCTGAAATGTGTGCTTCTCACCTGTCCTTCCAGCAATGGCATCATCCAGTTTTTTGCTTTTTGGATTTTGCGGATGAAAAGTCTATCATCGCAACTGGAGCAGCAGGAATCTGCACATGTGAGAGACAGACCAACATGTATGTGAACATACATGTAGGTGCAGTGTAACAATGAGACAGGCAAGGACGGCATGAACAGCTGACTGACCACTGGGGTCTGAATACCTTTTTGACATGTGATGGCATTAGCCACTTGCACTTCTCAGTGGTGCAGGATGCAGTCTCTCTCATCTTCACACCTGCTTCGATTGCAAACAGAACTGCTCCAACATGTGAGCAGGATTCTGACAAACTGTATAGACAGAGACATACTAGAATAACTAGATTGATCGTAAAAGCTAGTAATGGTATAACATGAATATTATAGCAGGCATTATTTTGTCTGAGCTTAAGTGTTGTGTCAAATATGCTTTGGGTTGGGATATTTATTTTATGACTTACCCAGCCATACAGTTACAGTGTGCTGTAACAACCTCTCCATCTTCTTTAGCTACAATCCACGTTTTTAATGGTGTTTCTCCAGACCTCTGGGAATGGTTGACCTACACAATTGAAGCTCCAGTTCACAACTTGCGAGTTGGTAACATACATTTAACAACATCACAAGCAACACATAACCAGATGGTCTTGGTAAAGAGGTTGTTTTTAATATTAACCTCAACATAGAGTGATATAAACAACGTGCAGGCTGTTCAAAGGCTCTGAGCTGTCTATACACACAAAACACAATATATCCTAAGCTAAACACATACACATAACAAACATATACATATATACACACACAACACACTCACAGGCCAGTTAATGCTGAAGGCAAGGCGACAGCCGTAACACTGCCTTACATGAGTCCATGTAGCTAAAGTTAGCTAGCTAGATGTCTCCTAATAATGCTACTTAGAGGTAAGAAGGTATAGGTAGTTAACACTCACCCGGGCAAAAACAAGGCGACATTTGTTTAATGCCTCTTTGGTGGCGAGGTCATTCACCCATCCACACACGAAGTAGTTGAAAGCTTCCAGGCTTTTATACGCTTTCATCTGGCTAGCCGTGTAGTAGGCGGTATGAAGGACGAGGTAGCTGGTGATATCCATCGCCTCAACAGCGGGCAAATCGGATAAATCACGAGAAAAGTCGTTTTTTTTCAGCTGATACGGATCGTATCCGATGTGTGCTGTGATTTTTTCACGATATCTGCGGCGTGCAGGTTCATTTAATTGTTTGACATAGTTGGTGTCCTCCATGATTCCTGCGTTGATGAATGATTGCGTTTTCACTTCCTGACCTCCACTTGAATTTCGCGCATCATAGAAGTCACGTGACTGAAACCAAGCTATTGTGTTATCAATGGTAGGCCAAGCTATGTATTTAAATAACGTCAAGTTCTACATCTTATAACAAATAACATCAGTCAATAATAACAAATAAAATCAACAACAAATAACTTCACTCAATAATAACAAATAACTTCAATAACAAATAACATCAGTTCAAAATAGAGAAAATCAATAACAAATCAATACATTCATACATTCAGGAAATACATTCAGCAATGCAAATGACCAATTGAATGCATGAGTCTCATCACTGGATTATTAGTGACTGCAATGAGCCTGTTTTGCACTGCACATCTTTTCAAAACGTGGTTGCAGGCTTGATAATGCCACTCTGAAGTCGTGCTCAATATTGAGCCTAGATCTGTATTTGGTTTTCAGTGTTGCAACAGCTGAAAAACCCATTTCACAGAGGTAAGATGTGGCGAAGGGAAGAAGAATGTGCACAGCTCTCTGCCCAATTACTGGATACTCCCTCTCCACTCCAAGACAGAATTCACGTTCATTTGGTTTCAGTTATGTGTGTGAGCAGGCTCGGATTGGCCACCGGGAGATTCTGGACTTTTCCCGGTGGGCCGCTGACGTTGGTGGGCTGCTGCCTTCGGTGGGCCGCTGGCTCTGGCATATGGGCCGTGGACTTTCACAGCGCCGCTGCCCCGGGACCGCATCCGCCGCCGCAAACACCCGCCATTGCGAGTCTCCGGCTGTAACAGTCCACTACCACCCGTGAGGACCCAGGTTCGATTCCGGCCTGAGGTCCAAAAAATGTATTAAAAAAAAAAAAAATCTCCCGTTCATCGCGTCCATTCGCGACCCACTATCACATCTCTGCGCCCCACCAGTGGGGCGGGCCCCACACTTTGAGAAACGCTGCAATAGAGTTAAGATAGAGAGAAGGATAAAGAAAACATCAAATAAATGTTATTTTCAGTCTGGGAGTTTGTCGTAAATTAAAATGATCATGTATCACAGACTGCATTTGCTGCAATGAAAGGTACCATTACACAAACTAACCTAATTTTAAAGTTGATGAATAATGACTTTTTATATTTGGTCAGTCCAGTTTTTCCCCTGCATATGTGTCAATGGAAGAACTAAATGTGCAGAGATAACAGAACTCTTCCATTCCAAACTTTATCAGACATAATTGACATGTGTAACCTTTATGATGCTTCCCCCAGGCCTTGTGTGAATGACTCTGGAGCTGGATTGTGGCCTGTGACATTTAGACAACAGTTAGAGCAATTTTCTAGTAAGCCCTGGTAGCTGCCATAAATCCTTGTTTTTATTTGAACAGATTTTCAAGAATAATGTCAGCATGTGGAATTGATAGCGAGTATTTCGAAACGGTTTCTGATTGATTCAGACTCAAAAAACAATATTTGCCTTCCCAGATAAATCATTAAATGTAACCATTTAAACTTTCTTTTTTAAATCTATTTGCTTGTTTAAAATGCTTAACATACAGTATGAACAGGATTATTGATTATAAAGAGCTGGAAAGTTGTCAAACAGCTGCATGTGAAATGAATTGAGCACATGCCCCAACAGTGCATGCAGCCTGTTGCTTCTGCTAGATTTGTACTATTTTTCAACTTTCAGCTTTCGTATTTGATCTTACTGTTGTCATTCTCGTTCAGCGACTTCTATTAGTAATTTATTAAGCTGTGCCCTTTATAAAAATGTTCTTGTATAGAGAGTTCTGTTTGTTGCCATTTATTTGCTGCCGTTTCGCAGCAACCCCATGACTTGTTTACACGAGGGAGAAGCTTATTGTGCTAAAGCCGGCTAGCATGGTCGGAACATCTATCCCCACTGAAATCTGTAGAATGACAAAGTGGATGCAGGGTAAACCGAAGTGACAAATTAAGAAAGCTGGGTCCAGATTTTTGTAGAAAATGTGATATAAGCTGTGTCTCCCGCCTATCATCATGGGCATTGTAAGATCACTGGTTTATGGGTATGGACGAGCTAACAGCGTTAACCAGGGGCCTGTACTACGAAGCTGGTTCAACCTAACCTGGATATGTTTGAGTTAGCCGAAACATACGCGCTCTCGCTAAACTGTACTACGACGCTGGTTATCAAGTGGATCGCTCAAGCCAGCCGTTTCCTATCTAGTTAGGTGCGCGTTCACATGAAAGGGGTGGTATTTGGAGCATTCGACCAATCACAAACATGGAGAAGCGTACTGACAGCGCAGCGTCATATTTCCTGAATGAAAAGTGAACTTTAATACTAGTCAAAAATGAAGAAGTTAAACTTTAAACATCCATGATTTAAACACTTTATCCAGGATAAAAGCCACATAGCTGCACCTGCAAGGTGAATACAGCTGGCAAAATAAAAAGTGTTTGAATGCGTACATTAACAGGTTTATGATATCACTGCCCCGTCTAAGACACGATCTGACTTTAATTACATTTGTCTCGAATGTTTCGTCAACTTAATGTGTTGCTTAAAATAATACTTCTGCATACAGTATGTGACACTGTGAGTGTTGCACGGCCAGATACGGCTCAGCTGACTCAGATAAGAAAATATATGATAGAGAAGTGATATGCCGCGGACTGTGGCTACTTAATGTTACTCTGATCCGGTTACTTATGTTGTGGCAGATATTTAAGTAAGCTTTCTTAACGCTAATGTTATAATAGTCAGATTGCTCTGAAGATGGGAGGTGATATTCTATTAATGTTCACGTTAACACAGTCGGTGATTTTTGCCGGCCGTCTTTCCTGCGACGGCAGCTTTTCTGTATTTCCTTTCTCCTGTAATATGACTTGATCGCTTTAAACTCTGCACACTGAGCTCTGATTGGTCAGCAGGCAGTGCTTTCACTGAGTTGAGCTCTTAGCCTGCAACCTAACCTGGGGCCTGTACTACGAAGCTGGTTCAACCTAACCTGGATATGTTTGAGTTAGCCGGTTGGCCTAATCCAAAACATACGCGCTCTCGCTAAACGGTACTACGACGTGGGTTATCAAGTGGATCGCTCAAGCCAGCCGTGTCCTATCTAGTTAGGTGCGCGTTCACATGAAAGGGGTGGTATTTGGAGCATTCGACCAATCACAAACATAGAGAAGCATCCTGACAGCGCAGCGTCATACTTCCTGAATGAAAAGTCAACTAAAATATTAGACATATGAAGAAGTTAAACTTTAAACATCCATGACTTAAACACTTTATCCAGGATAAAAGCCACATAGCTGCACCTGCAAGGTGAATACAGCTGGTAAAAGAACAAGTGTTTGAATGCATACATTAACAGGTTTATGATATCACTGCCCCGTCTAAAACACGAGTGGATCTGACTTTAATTACATTTGTCTCGAGTGTTTCGTCAACTTAATGTGTTGCTTAAAATAATACTTATGCATACAGTAGGCTATGTGACACTGTGAGTGTTGCACGGCCAGATACGGCTCAGCTGACTCAGATCAGAAAATATATGATACAGAAGTGATATGTCACGGACTGTAGGCTACTTAATGTTACTCTGATCCGGTTACTTATGTTGTGGCAGATATTTAAGTAAGCTTTCTTAACGCTAATGTTATAATAGTCAGATTGCTCTGAAGATGGGAGATAATATTCTATTAATGTTCACGTTCACACAGTCGGTGATTTTTGCCGGCCGTCTTTCCTGCGACGGCAGCTTTTCTGTATTTCCTTTCTCCTGTAATATCACTTGATCGCTTTAAACTCTGCACACTGAGCTCTGATTGGTCAGCAGGCGGTGCTTTCACTGAGTTGAGCTCTTAGCCTGCAACCTAACCTGGTCCCGACCAGGAGGGTATACTACGAATCTAGTTCAACCTATCCTGGATATGTTTTGAGTTATCCGGTTGACTTAATCCAAAACAAAGCCGCTCTCGCTAAACTGTCCTACAACGCTGGCTATCAACTCGTTTGCTCAAGCCAGCCGTGTCCTATCTAGTTAGGTGCGCGTTCACATAAAAGGGGTGGTATCTGGAGCATTTGACCAATCACAGACATGGAGAAGCGTACTGACAGCGCAGCGTCATACTTCCTGAATGAATTGTGTCAACTATAATATTAGACATATGAAGAAGTTAAACTTTAAACATCCATGACTTAAACACTTTATCCAGGATAAAAGCCACATAGCTGCACCTGCAAGGTGAATACAGCTGGTAAAAGAAAAAGTGTTTGAATGCGTACATTAACAGGTTTATGATATCACTGCCCCGTCCAAGACACGAGTGGATCTGACTTTAATTACATTTGTCTCGAGTGTTTCGTCAACTTAATGTGTTGCTTAAAATAATACTTATGCATACAGTATGTGACACTGTGTTGCACGGCCAGATACGGCTCAGCTGACTCAGATAAGGAAATATATGATACATTATGATGTGATATGAATGATAATGGGATACATCGACGTCTGCACTCACAGTGCCGCTGACTGTAGGCAGGGGCGTAGCTGGAAATTCTGGGCCCCATGAAACAATCTATTTGTGGGCCCCCAATCCATGCGAGTGCGCGTTAGTGTGCACGCTAAAAAAAATGTGGCCATTTATTTATTGCATTGCATTAGCTTTTTTACTGTAGCGGCCGGGTTGCTGCCTTTCTCAGCAGAGTGCTAAAGCCCTACCTGTTACACGCGCAAGTAATTTGAGGAGGCGCGAGTGAAAAGTGTTGAGCTATTGGTGGGGACAATTCAGGATTCTTGGATACTGGTGGGGTCATGACCTTGCGTCCACCCCCTAAACGACACGATGAAACCCAACCTCGAAAACCCTGTTGAAGTTAATGAACTGTAATGGACTGCAAGAAATCAACATGCACTGACTATCAACTTTATCTTCTGTCTATTTAATTGAAAATTACACCCAATACAGGAATGAACACAAACAAATCTCAACATTCTTTGACTTATTAAATTAAGATTTGAACAACACAAGGACAAAAGTATAAATTAACTGAAGATTTGAACACAATTATAAAACAATAAACTCTCAGGACATGAACACACTTACAGCAAACAATGAAAAATGTAGTGCTAGAGGACTATGCATCAGATAGTAATTGTTCACAATGTGGGCTGTAGCCTGTCAGCTTACTATAGGGAAACATCCCACA